TGCTACTTCAGGGAGTTAGACAAAATTGGACATTGATAAATCAAAGTCGCTTTAGATTCTGAACTTAGCTTTGTATAAATCTTGGATTAACACTTTTTCAAAGCGAGTGTTGCCGAAATTTCTACAAATGTAAAGAGTTAGTTAAATTTTGTCTTAATTGAACTCAAGTCTTGTTTCTGAGTTCATATCCGACTTAGTAAAAATCTGGAAAGACTTCTTTTCTAAGGGGAGTGTTGCCCAATTTTTTACTAATTTAGGGAGTTAGACAAAATTTGACTTTTCAGAATTAGAGATTGTTTTTGTTATCATATTTGAGTTATTATAAATTCTGAAAATATACTTTTCTTATAGGAAGCGTTGCCAAAATTTTATTAGTTCAAAGAAATTATATTATATTTTGACAGGTGGCGACTCGGGCCATCCACCCTATGTAGGGGAGATGCTACCATAGGTCTACCTTGCGTTGGGTATTGGCTTAGAGGTATGCATTTTGTAGGAAGGTCTTGGGTGAGAATGTGTTAGTGGAGTTTTATTCTCCATACACTTATGAATTTAACTTGGATATTGGTTTGTCATGTGTTAGAGGTCCTCTTGATCATTTGATTTATGACCTGGACTAGTTTCAGTTTGATCCTACGAGAATCATCTTCTATTATCACAGATAACAAGTCGGTTGCTGCTTCGTCGGTTTACGACTCAACTTCAATTCATCCTCAATACTCAACCTAAAAGGCTTTAGCCCTTGTGGTTTCTATTGTTTTATGAAGATTTTCACCCGGACTTTTATTGAATGGCCATTTAACAAAGGTACTCAGTATTTAATTATGGGAGGTTGGACAAAGGTTGGGGCTTGCATGGCTAAAGCGAGGGGTATGAGTATAGAGAATAGTTGAAGTTGACTCCGTGTAGTGTGTGGACTTTAGGTTGATTCTTTGATGTGATTGCAGGTATGTTCTGTGGTTTGGACTTTGGATTTGACTGCATGCGATCACATACATATATATGGTTATGAGGAGTCTCATAGTGATTATGAGAAGTGATCATCACATATTTATTCTCCTTTTACATATGTACATGCGCATACCTATGTTTGGGTGTTCGCGTGACCTGAGGGGTCCACGCTTAAGGGTTTAATTGAGGTCCAGATTGAGAAAGGAAGGAGAACCCCCCCCTTTTATTATTATATGTTTTTTAAAGATTTCTCAGTCGGACGTTGGTCTTGGGCCTGGATTCGAGGTCCTTGTCCATGACATCCCAGGTCCTTGACTCTGCATGGAAGGGATCCCCCACCTCGCAGAGCCTATTTGCCCGGCCACTGGGACACTCAACCTAAAGGTTGGAGATGCTGTGGAGGCCGTATATTTATTCCTTCAGCCATGCAATATCGTGAAGGGGTAGACCCTCACGATACTTCGAGTTTGACACTTGAGTGTCATAGTAAGCAGTATTCGAACCCACGAGGGACCGCTTGATTATGGGCACTACATAGTACGTCATCATTGCGACTACGTGCATATTCATACATTGCAAGTCTATATGGGAAGGTTCTGCGTCCGCTCGGTTTTATACTAAGTCTTGTGCAGGTCGTCTATCCGATTTCGACATCAGAAAGTTATGGGATGGCTACTGAAAGGACTAGGATTGTGTGCGTTGTTTTGTTTGTGTAGCCCCCCAAGGCGTCAGTTCGCGTGGGGGTTCGATAGAGGCATAAAACCACGCGTAGCCCCTACGCTACAACGAACAAGAAACGCCCTTGGCTGGTCTACCTCTGTGATTGCAACTGATTAACTTTCGTACTGTGGACTTGAAGCTCGACGGGGATACGCCCACCGAGAGAGGTGACAGCTCCCGTAAGGTGGAGGTAAGTCGTGCCTCGCGTAGGCCCTATCTTGTCGTAGGGGTTCGTGAGAGGTATGGCTGGCGCACTCGGTCGGAGCGGCTTGCAGAAACTCCATGTGTATTCGCGACGAGGATTAGACCAACTCCTGCGTGACACGGCCGGGAGGGTCCCGCCCCGTTTGTGTGGTGCTGGACCAATGTGCTCGACATCGGGTTATTGGGGTCTTCTTGGGTGAGAAGTAAGACTAAGGAGTTGTCTTTAAAGTTTGAGAGGTTTCATTGTGCCTGCCTGTTGACCCAATCTTTCAATCTAACCCTTGTGGATATTTTTTTTTCCTTTACCTTTTCTTTCATTACTTGTAGGGATCTGTTTGTCTCCTGCATTTGATTGGGTTCCTCACTGTTCCCATCAGACTATTGTGCCTGGCAGTCGTTGTCACTGTTCTCCCCCTCGAGGATGAGAGGGGATAGATAGTCTGTATTGCCTCTCCTTGTCCATCCTCAAAGATAATACTCTATTGATGAATTTGACATTGAAGTACATAAAAGAGATAGGCAAGGAGATAACTTCCGAAAGGCTTACGATCATGTCGATCGGGCCTTCCTCGACATGTGCTTACAACGAACAAACTTTGACCCTAACTGCATATGATGAGTGAACATACTACATTGAAGAGTCACAACCATATGATGGGCCCGGGTAATGGTCACCTATCCAACCCCTTCTTACTTCGACGATCGGCGAGACAAGGGTATCTATCCCATAACCCTGCTCTTGTTTATTATAGTCATGGAGGTCCTGACTATAACTATTAAAGTGACCCTAACATAGGAGTAAGAGGTCCCCGAGATCCCTCGCCACCTCATCCTAAAAACCTCTTCATTTGCCGATGACCTGACATTCCTCGTCAAAGCTAACAAACCCTCCCTTCAAGCTTCGGTCACAATTATCCAGTGTTTCTCCCTGACATTAGACGTGGTAGTGAACTGGGGTCTAAGACCGAAGGATGGCGGCTCCACCCCAGGACGAACAAGCCCCTATAGAATATGCCATAGCCTAGAAGAGGCAAGAAGAAGCCATAGGGATACTGGGAGTCAAAATAACATCGTTGGGCCCTCCATAGAACCATAGAGCCACTCTGGTCGATGATCATTCAATTTCTTATTATCGACGCATATACAAATTGACCCATTCTTCTTCGAGACCAGGACCACGGGGAAGGACCAGGGCCCTGTGGATGGCTCGATCCATCCGTTAGCCTCGAATTCTCGGATTTGTTCCAACGTCGTCCTCCATTCTGCGAGGGAGTATCTGTATGGTTTGCAGTGGATTAGTGGGTGCGTTCCTATTTGGATTTCATGTTGAATAACTAAAGACAGTCCGATGTCCATGTCCTTGACGCTAATCGTCCCTTGATATTCGGTCAGAATGTCTGCAATCAGGCAGTGAGTTTCATCGGGCACGTACAAGGGCACATGTAGTTCATAAAGTTGTCCGTGTATGTTAACCGTCACTTGCTTTGTGCCCGTCTTCGTACCGTTTCCGAGTGGGGGAGATGAAATGAATGAGTTGTCCGATTGCCAGGAAAACACCGTGGTAACCATTTGGGCGCTCTCCTCCCCGATTGCCACGTTTTCCTTCGGCGTTACGTCATCATCAATGTCTCGAGCGCTTACGGGTTTCTTGGCAATTTTGATCTTGAGCTCGTAAGGCGGGGGATCGTCACGCCCAGGAGATTCCATAGCTTTGCTCTCGGTGCCCTGTTGCAGCAATCGAATCTCCTTTCCTGTAGAGAGCAAGGAGTGGGGGAGTTTCGTAATATCGCAGAAGGCCTTCTTATCCATGTCCCTGGGGAGAAGCGGGGTGGTAGCTTTGTATAGGGTTCGAGGGGGTTTCGAAGAATCGGTCATTCGGGATACCTGTACCAATGGTCCCCCTAGGATTGAAGCTCGCGTTCGTTGGAGATTCCTCTCCGTAAGGACGAATATTTTTGCCACTTTATGACGGACAAGGTAGCGAATCAGTTGGTGCGCCATATCTCGGATCACCGGGTCTGCCTCGTCCTCGCTGTCAAAGTGCGCCAGCCATCGGCTGAGTGCGTCAGCCATACCTCTTTTCCTTTAGGGTCTGGTGTCGAGCGCATCGGTCCGGCACCGCACAAAACGGGGCGGGACCCTCCTGGCCGCGTCACGCAGGAGTTGGTATATTCCTCATCGCGAATACACTTGGAGCTTCCGCAAGTAGCTCCGACCGAGTGCACCAGCCATACCTCTTGCGAGCCCCTACGACAGGATAGAGCCTACACGAGGCACGACTTACCTCCACCTTACGAGAGTTGTCACCTCCCTTCGGTGGGCGTATCCCCGCCTAGCTACCAGTCCACAGTACGAAAGCTAATCAGTTGGAATTGCAGAGGTGGACAAACCGAGGGCGTTTCTCGTTCGATGTAGCATAGGGGGTACGCGTGGTTTTCACCTCTATCAAACCTGCACGCGAACCGACGCCTTCGAGGGTTGAGGTCCCAAGCGCGACTCGTCGCCAGTCGACTAGGACGCATCCCACACACCACGCGTATACCNTGCACCAGCTTGGTCTGACATTTTGGCAGCTCTTTCTAATAAACGAGAATGTAGATAAAACACATCTCCTGGGAAAGCTTCTCGACCTGGTGGTCGAGGGGGGACTGAAAGCCATGCAGTGCGGAGGGAAAGAAGCAGGGAGCTTGTGGTGGTCGCTTCTTGTCAGAAAGTTATATTGCTTTTGATTTTGGTTTCTGAATTGGTTTATGACATTTTATACCTCTGTATTCCTTTGTCTTTTGGGTGCAATTTAGGCTGGAGATGTAAAACATCCCTTCTAACCTCTTTTGGGTAGATGCTACTGTGTGCACACCCGAATACAACGCACGGTCATTACTGCTGTATCTAGACTCAAAGTTGCCCCAAATGCACAGCTGCAATGACCGTACGTCGTATTCGGGTAAACATAGTAGATAGTAAATACCCTGTTAAGTTGTGTTAACTCTATATTGCAGAGACAGACCTCCTCCCTAATCTTCTGTTGGGGTACCTTCCTGTGCATATCCGATCATCTTCTTCTTTCTTTTGATTCCATGTCCAGTCCCAGGGTCTCCACATAGTGGTCAAGGATCGGGACACATCCGGGCCCATCAGGTACATGTCCCCTGTAGGGACCAATCTTTCTCCATATGACAGTGGAGCGACGATAGCCGGACTGTACTTTGCCTGACTACTGCGGACGAAAGCGGCGATGATGATGCCGATCGCCATCATGATGATGGTGACGATGGCGACGACGGAAATGACAACCGTGGCATTGTCTACGGATAAGATGTCGTCTGGTCTTGGAGGAGGAGCAGCATCAGCTACAGTGACGACGAAGAACGCCTGCCACCCTATTCGCTACTTATCGAGCCGTGCCGATCCCCCTCTAGTTTATACGTATGAAGTGGTTTCAAAGTGGAAACACGATCCGAATGCTTTCACGCAAGGCTTGGTTTACGATTATGCGGGCGACTGCCTATACGAGTCCACCGGTATGTATGGCGAGTCGTCGATCCGACAGGTCGAAATCGAGACAGGGAAAGTCCAGAAGATTCGTAGACTGGCTCACGATCATTTCGGTGAGGGCCTGACGCTTTTCCAAGGAAAGCTGTACCAGATGCTTTGGCTCACGAACGCCATTCTAGCGTATAGTAAACAGTCTCTGAAGAAATTGGGAGTTCAGATGAGCCCTATGAAAGATGGGTGGGGCCTTACGGACGATGGAAACACACTAATCGGTAGCGACGGCAGCTCCACCATAACGTTCTTCGATCCCATCACCTTCAAGGAGGTTAGGCGCGTAGCAGTTCATGATGACGACATGGAGGTGTCGTCGCTGAACGAGTTAGAGTACGTAAAAGGCGAAATCTGGGCGAACGTATGGATGAAACACTGTATCGCGCGGATCTCGCCGAGCGACGGGAGAGTCCTCGGCTGGATCATCTTGAAAGGACTTGCACAGCAGGTGGAGTACGATCGAAGAGCTAGGCGAAGTATGGATGTGCTTAATGGTATTGCATGGGACGGGCAGAGGGAGAGGTTGTTCGTGACCGGAAAGTACTGGCCAACACTGTTCCAGCTGAAGATTGGTATTGCTGCGTGGGCGGAGGCCGCAGCTACGGTCGAGGAGGCACGGAAACAGTGCATCCCAACGGTAGCAGAGCGTAGGAGATATGGGCTTTCCTAAAGCGTGGAGGATTATGCCTGCTCATGGCGGCAACATCTAGGATTTTTGGCTTTTCCTGACACTCTACTGGATTTTAAGAAGAATTCCCCCCCCAGCTACGCCTGCCTGCGCGCTTGACGACCTCTGGAGGGTCGGGAGATGGTCTCTGATTAACACCCGCTCAGTTGATGGCCCCCCTGCGAGGTTTGGGCAGATGGTCTGGTACGCACCTGTTCAGTTGACGGCCTTGAGAGGTATTGGCAGATGGTCTGGTATATTCCTGCTCAGGCGATGATCTTGGGAGGTTCGGCACAGAGTCCGAGGGTTCGGCACAGGGTCTGGAGGTACGGCACACGGTCCAGAGTTTCCGTGAATGGACCGGAGGTTCGCCACATTGTCAGGAGGTTCAGTGGATGATCTGGAGCTTTGGAAGATGGTGGTCTGGTCTCCCTGCCCATTTTCCAGATGGTCGGTCTGGTCTCCCTGCGCAGTTGATGGGCTTGGGGGTCGTGGCAGATGGCTCAGTTGACCTCGGGAGGTTCAATGGATAGAGCTCTGATTCTGTTCTTTCCAGTGAAAGAACTCAGAACCTGGCTGTATGCAGCACAGCTTTGAGGAGTCTTCAAAAAAAAAGAAAGGGGGAAAAAAAAAAAAAGGGCTTTGAGCCTTTGAGGAGAGGTCGTGCGATGTTGGAACGCTACTGCACCGGGGTGCTGTCTGCAACTTCACTTATGGTACAAAGTCGCGAACCCTGAAAACAATTCGTGCAAGTTCTTCCTACAGGCGACAGGTAGGAGAGAATGCCGCTTATAAGGTTGCAATGTAGGGGTCATACACACACACACACACACACACACACATGCACACACACGCACACACACGCGCACACACACACGCACACGCACACACACGCACACACCTGTCTCTTATACACATCTAGATGTGTATAAGACACCACGCGTATACCACTCTAAAGAACCAAAAAAAAAAAAAAAAAAAAAAAAGACACAAACGAAAAAACATACACAATCCTAGTCCCTTTAATAGCCATCCAAAAACTTTTCGATGCGGAAATCGGATATGCGATATGCGCGAGACTTAGTATAAACTTGAAACCACACGGACGCAGGGCTTTCCATATTGACTAGCAATGTATGAATATGCAAGTAGTCGCAATGATGGCGTACTATGTAGTGCCCATAATCAAGCGGTCCCTCGTGGGTTCGAGTACCGCTTATGACACTCAAGTGTCAAACTCAAAGTATCGTGAGGGTCTACTCCTTCACAATATTGAAAGGCTGAAGGAACAGTCGTGCGGCCTCCTCGGCACCTCCGGCCTTTAGGCTGAGTGTCCCGGTGCCAGGGCAAATAGGCTCTGCGCGGGGGGTGATCCCTTTCATGTAGCGTCTAGGACCTGGGATGTCCTGGACAAGGACCTCGAATCCAGGCCTAGGACCAACGTCCGACTAAGGAACCTTTCAAAAATATACAATCAGTAAAGGAAGGGAATTCCCCTTTTTTTTTCCAACCTTGACCCCAATTAAAACCTTAAGCGTGGGCCCCTCAAGCCATGCGAACACCAAACATAGGTACATACGTCAAGGGGTGATGGGGTGAAAGGGCAGGATGTGGTGATAGAGAGGGAATTTGGTTTCCAGGATAATAATTTCAGGTTCCGCAACGATGTGACACATGTATGAGCTACGGCAGCCGGGGAGATGGGGGATACGTCCCAAGACCTGATCAATATCCCATTCACAAATACGTTCGTTCCCTGTTACATAGGGAAATTCCAGAGGTTTCGCCCTTGATCGTGTAGACAAGCACGAGTGTTCCCAATACTCCCGGAATTCACGATCCCTCATGCACTCGCTGTCAGTGATACGAAAGGGGATTCGATATTCATACTGCAGGGTGGGGCGGAAATTCAGACATTCGGGAAGCTGGGTCGAGTATAGGTCTTGCAGACACACGTGTAAGTAACGATCTTCTTTGGTCGGGCTTACACGTGCGTGCGCAAGTCATGTTTGTCTGTAAGGTGGATAAAGGTCAGCAACTCACAACTAGTACGCACTGGCGTGTTAACCCAATGGTGGACAATCCTATCGTGAGACAGACACCTAATCATCTAGCATGCCCATCTAGTTCATACTTAGACAAAAAAACACCAAACATCCATGCATCTAGTTTCGAACATACACAATTAACAAACAAAAAGTTGACAATCATCAATTTTTCGGCCATTGGTCAGGGATTATACAAAATTCGACCGTAGGTCATCAACCAATCAAGTTGCCAATTCATACAAAGGGAGGAGGAAAGTGGGGGAGACAATCACACATCAATCCTTGGAGAAGAAAAGGAAAAATATGAGATGTCGATCCAAAAAGCAAGGGCAACTTGCGCCAGATACCAAAATTACTCAGAAGAATAGGAGAGAAACACCATTACACACATCCCGTCTTCCCTTCTCTCGCTCTCTCTTTTTCTCTTCACAACATCCCAATGCGACCAGTCCGTCGCCGCGAACCCACGCAGAGTTGTCACCCCGCTTAGCTTTAACATACTACCAACCAGGTTCGTCTGTGTGCCACACTCCGTCGTGGCCACACGTGAACCCCGCATATCCAGCACCAGCCCGTCGGATCGCCCAACTCTCTACTTACCTTCCGACTCTTGCTTGTTAGCCGATCCTCTTGACCGTGCTGACTCGAAAATTCATAGAGAGGGAGTTAATCGTGGTTGCAAAATTTATAGCATGCGTGTTTGCGCGAGATACCTGGGATTGTGCCTGAGTGAGAGGGAAGAAGGAGGAAGGGAGTGCCTACGATTGCATGACCGGGCCGTGGCGTGGGGGACGTAGCCACTCTCCACGCATTGATCCAGTGACGCATTGCTTAGGCCAATAGGATTGGGAAAAATATGCGCGCGCAGAGTGAGGTGCGACAAAGATATCAAGAAAGAGAAGATTACAGTTACATTTGCGCTTGCCAAGAAAAGAATTACGGTTACACGCAAGATTAAGACGTGGGAAAGCCAGCGCACAGACCCTGACACGGCAAAGCTCGCACAAGCAAGAAGCGTCGGGCAGTTGTCGACAGAATCGCGACGCACCTAAATTCCTAATCTAAGGGTCTCGTTAGACACTTCTAAAAGTGTCTATTTTTAGGATTGCATCTTGGTTGCGAGCAATCCTAAATCCAATTTTGAGATCGAAAATGTGAAGACGACATTAAGACGAGTCCTAAAGGATTTAGGATTCCCTAGGCAAAATCATCCTAAATTTTCCAGTAGCCCTCGACCTACTGAAAAATTGAGGATTCCCGCGTTTCACGGACTCGTTGCGTCACGCGCATGGCACCCTCGACATGGAGTTGCTGGTGCAGAAGCGGTCCGTCGGGTCAGTGGTCGGTCAACGAAGGTTTTCTGCGGGTGAGCGCGGGCAACGGCCACGAATGGTAGCCGTTGGTGGGGATTGGACGAACATTGGCAGGAATGGATGAACATTGGCGACGCCGCTGCGTATACGCATATGAAAACCGACCGCGAAAGACGTTTTAGGACGAATCCTCAAAGATGATTTTTAGGATTGCGTGTAACGACGCCGCACGAAATCCTAAAAATCCTTTAGGACTCGTCCTAAAAATTTTAGGATTCTTTTAGGAGTGTCTAACGAGACCATAAGTCCTAATTGCAAAAAGAAATTCCAAGAGAAGAAAATTCTGAGAGCCCGCGGGGGCTTGACATCAGTTGAAAATTCAAAACGATTTTCCCACGTGACGATTGTGCAAAAATTCCCATTTCCCACAGCAGAACAAGAAATAAGTTATGGCAACAGTTATCTTCCGCGCTCGCTAAGGCGCCATCAACTACCAACCGTCGTGGGACCATGCCAGCCTCAATTCCAAAAACAAGAAAAGCAAAGGCACCCATGCAATCCAACGGGTTATCCCGATTCAACTCCCGAAGTAGCCTTGCGCAGAAAGTCGCACGGTTGCAGAAAACAGCTCGTCACAAATCCGAGAAACGCCTCTACGAAACCTAGAGAAGCCGACAAATGCCTCTACAGGACGTAGCAAATGGGACAAAGGACTCTATGCAGACAGACTCCTCTACGTGTTGCATTGTAGGGCCCTGTTCTGCTGTTACTCGTGGTCTTCGCGAAGACACCCTCTCTCTCTCTCTCTCTCTCTCTCTCTCTCTCTCTCTCTCTCTCTCTCTCTCTCTCTCTCTCTCTCTCTCTCTCAACGGGTGCTGTGTTGCAAAGCTGTGCTTGAAGGCCCCTCCTATCTGACGTAACTACTACGTGATGGGCGACTCAGGTTAGTCACTTGTGTCCCTCTCTCCTCTGTTTGTGCATGTGTGCGTGTGTATGTGTGTTGTCATATTCCCTATACACTCAAAAAAAGCATGTCTGTACCAGACTGTTTCGTCGGACTTTCACCGACTCATCGGGAGGTTGAACCCCAACAGTCTGCCCAGGATGCATTTGACTGATGGATAAGGACTCGCCACATCGCCCAGAGTTAGCAATACCCCTGAACAAAAGTGGTCTACTTTATTTACACCAACCTTGCCATCCTAGCAGACTGCCTGTCCAAACCCCTGACAAGAACGGTAGAAAAAGTCTGAGAAACTAATCTGACACAGTCATAAACCCACTCTGCACACCCACTCAGCCATGGGCACCCAATGGCATGTCTGTGTGTGTGGGCCTCGCCACTCCACTCCGAATCCCCAAAAACATTGGGGAGCACTCCCGAATGTCAGAAGACGTGCCAGTAAAAAAAAAAAAACCCTTCGGGAGCGTGCTTCGCCACAATGCGCTCTTGACGCTTGGGGCCTCGCCACAGCACTGTCGAAATGTGAAAAAGACAAAAATGTTGCCGGCGCATCTGGCCATGTTCCAGAGAGACGTTCGTTCTCATTTTGCACTTTTTGAGAGTGGTGTGGCGATGCCCTTGATCACGGGCGCTCTCGGATTTCGGGGTTCAAGAGTGCGGCGTGGCGAAGCACGTACCGTCGAATCTGGGAATCTGGGACAGGGATTGGAGGAGGGACTGCGGTACGGTGCGCAACTGTAGGGGGAGGGGGGGAATCGAAAGCACACAAAGGACCCGCATCCTCGTGCAAATTTCCACAAAAGGCCCCACAAATTTCCACAAACGATGGGCCTGGAATTACCTCCGGAACCTGGAGGTGTTCGTGAATAGGGAATTTCAGCATTTCAGCACCTCTCCACAAACATGGCCATGTTCAAGCGGTTTCAGGGGTTTGTGCTGCGCCCCCGGTGCGGTCGCAGTCGGGATCGCGGGAGCGGTCCGGCCTGCCCACAGGGAGCGAAGGACAGTCGAGTGCTCTGCTTGAGTGTGTGCATTCGACTGCCCCTGCTTGAGTGTGTGCATTCGACTGCCCTCTTGCTTCCTGTGGGCGGAGCACAGGCTGGCACTCTTCCTCCCAGTTCTCTCCCCTGTTTCGTCACGGTAGTGATGGCCAACGGGATGATGGTGTTGACGAGACACTGTTCTCCTGGGCTGTCAACACACCGTTCTCTCTCTCTCTCTCTAGCCGGGTGCTGTGTTGCAAAGGCCTTTCCGAGGTGACGTGGTCTGTACACTCGGCGAGGTGACGTGGACTGTACACTCGGCGAGGTGACGTGGACTGGACGCTACTACGGGACGGGCGACTGAGGTTAGTCATTTTTGACCCGATCCCCTTTGCGTGTGCGCGCGCGCGCGCGCGTTTGCGTTTGCGTGTGTGTGTGTGTGTGTGTGTGTGTGTGTGTGTGTGTGTGTGTGTGTGTGTGTGTGT